TGAGTTTTGGAACAATAAAATTTTTTTTAAAAATATTTGAGTAGATATTTAGATTTGTCCATTGAAGTACTCTATACCAAATCAAGCTTTTTACTTAAATTTGAGTTTAAATTTGAATCATGGTCGGAGATGCACTTACATGAGTAGTAAGTAGGCTGAAAAAAGCCATTCAAGGAGGGGAGTTATTAAAAGCTAATTACAATTTATTTAGGTCAAGATACCACTCAGTGGTTCNAAAAAGCCATTCAAGGAGGGGAGTTATTAAAAGCTAATTACAATTTATTTAGGTCAAGATACCACTCAGTGGTTCAAACAATGAATGAATAAAAGATTAAGGTCGATCCCAGCACATTAAGATCGATTTCAAGTTACCTTATTTTCATAGTCTTACAAAGCCAAAATTATAACTACACTTTTATTTTGTCATAACTTTCATACAATATCGAAAAGTAATTTTTTAGTACCGTAATTTTACCCATATGCAAAATCATTTTTGTGGAAACTTGGTCAGTTTAGGGGAGAAGGAAAATTACTGAGCCATCTCAGTTGGTGGTATAGACTGTTTGTACAACATTTACTTCTATAGCAGCAGCATTCTTCTCAGAAGAAAATTGACAAGCAGTTGCCTTGGACCTTTTTTATGCTGCTAAATCAACAATCAGGTGATACATTTGATTCAAATACGTACCGACTAATATAGAGTGAAGCCATCATCATATGAAACATGCCATCCTCGTCGACAGGGCGGGGCATTTTCGCCGTGTTCAGCACAACAGCTCCATCTCTTTTTCCAGTTTGGTCTCCCGGTGTTTGGTCGATTGTCCTTCTGGTTCCACTTGTACACAATTACCCCAGATCGATCAGTCCACTCTCCATCGATCCCTTGATGAGGTGGTGCCAATGCAAGTAATCCCTTCTCTCCTGCAGAGTAAACGTTTAGTTCCATGTGGATGACATTGAATGCTGCTTATCTATGCTTTACTGATTTAGCAGCACAAACCGATGCTCAAGCAGAAGACAAGAAAAGATTGTGCCTAATGATGTTTGACAATCAATCTTATCTAAAGACTCTCGTAGTGAGCACGAAGGGGTCATTCTTGTTGATGCAGAGGTTCTCAGTAGAAGGAGAATGCCAGAGCTGTATACATCACTTGTACCTAAAGCTAAGAGAAAGTATCAGAATACTTGGAATGAATGTGTGTGAAAAAGGGATACTCAAATTAAGAGTAGAGCCCCGTATATATATCCAAAAATAATACAGAGTGACTTAAACATCCTTGTAGTTTAGGCAAAATATAAAAATCATAGTAAGGATAAAAANCAAGGTCTCGGGGGTGACAATAATCATCCACAAGGGTCTAGACTCTAGAATTCAAACCACCATCCTCCTTTACAGAGAACAACCTACAACCATGCTCCCGTGTCCTACAAATTTAAAGGCAGCTATCTACATTTTCAAAATAGATCGATCTTATGCCAAGGCACGAATTTGCTCCCAACTTATGTAGTCAACTTATTTATAATAGATATTAGCAAAAAAAAAACTATATATATAATCGAAACCATTTAAACCAAGTCTTGCTAATCCAGAAGTAGGAGATGACTATACTGAATTGTCTTCCCTGTTATCATTCTCCCTTCAATTTTTTACTGGGAGGAAATTGGATAAATTGTGGTCCTTGTGCTGGAGAGAACAATGTCCATTTGGGATAAAGCATTCGCATGTTTTCTCATTCAACCTTAAATTAAGGCTGTCTCAAGTAACTTTATTCTTATTGTAAACACATGAATAAAATTGTTATGCTAAACAGTCTTAAAGCTTGTTATAAGATTATGACTTCAAATAAAAGGCATCAATCTTTCTGTCTCACGAACACTGTGACACTCATACAACCCGGGGATCCCGTTGNCCCTACAACCCGGGAATCCCGTTGACAACCCGTCAACCCACAAAAATGCCCGTGAGTGCCGCTTGATCCGACATCACGCTAATGTTATTCCCTTTTTACCGGAATTTTTTTTTTCATTACACGAAACAACCGTGTACCTTTATCATTGTATCTAACCGTGGTTCAATGTACCACATTCCATCCTCCATTATAGTCCATTTACATCATAAGAACTAAATGATGCATAGCCCAAAGGCCTGGGAGAAAGATTTTAGCAAAATTTCAAGATCTGCCAAAGTGTACTAGTACGGGTTGCTCACTAGACCTCACCGTACTGGTACGCTGAGCCCATTTTTCTCTGTTTCATCTATTTTACATTTCAAATTTAATTTTAACCATTCCAACATCGTCTCAAACATACATAATGATCTTATTCACATAAAGCTTGATATCTCTAAGTTCTATTACAAGTCATTTACACGATTACATGTCAAAATGGAATTAAACCTAAGTTTTTATACAAAACTTATTTTCAAAAGCCACAAACTGGCTTTTCTTCATTCTCGAGGTCCCGAATGTGTGTCATCCACCGGAATATGTCTCGTACCTGAAATGTGTTCCTATATAGGGTGAACCAACGCCCAGTAGAAATTTTCCTATAGAGGCTACTTCCCAACCCAAGTGCATATGCAATGTTCATACACAACATTCACAATTATACATTCATTCCAAGCAAAAATATACCTGTTGCATGTTGAAATTAATTATGTCATGCCATGAATGAAATGAGATTCACTGATGCCCTTTAACCCGAGCCCTTACAGGCTCCCACTATACAATGCAATGCCGATGAATGAAAAATCCGTCATTGATGAATTACATCCAATAATCATTTTGAAATAAAGTCATGTGATTATAGACCAAGTTATTGTTGGATGTTACACATCGAATGATTATTTTATAAAACAAGTATACTTTTCTGGAATTTCACCACAGGGAAGTGTACCAATCAGGTATTTTATAAAACAAAATCCTTATGTCTTTGTTGGGTAGCAGAGTTCTCGGAGTCGCACCGCCAGTTCCACACACCGTGACACTTTTCCGTAATTTCACCCCAAGGGAGTGTCTGAACCAGGTAGCCGGGTCTTACACCCAAGGGAGAGTCTAACCCTACTTGTTATACCCAACACAAGTTTTTCATGCAACCGTGCGACTCAGTCTGATTTTTAATCCAACTTTCTCGAGTCCATCCATCAACCACCAAGTATGGTGTTTGATTAAACCATGACAATACCCATGAATGCGATATTCCCGTGCAAATGTAATGTAATGCATCATTATTATTTCAATGTTATACGCATATGTAAAGAATATCATATGAGCAAAATTTAATCATATTTACACATATTCCATGGCAATTTAAATCTCAAAACATAAAATTACCAATTTCATCACAATGTCGATATATCTATGAGCATACATCAACATTTTTATATCCAACAGTCATTCACAAGCATGTTATCACATAATATATGTCAATAACACATTTCATCCACCAAGGCATAAATTTAAACACTTAACATGCCCACATAGCACTCATTTCCATTGATCACATTGAGTCAAATTCACAATCCAATTCAAGGTAAAATTCATTCTATCTAATTTTCATACACATTTCATCCATTTTCACAACATAGGTAATAATATGATCTTTCCATCCACATACCCATTATATATTGTATCTTAAGTTGTTAAATAAACCTAAGTAGGAAGGAATCCTATCTCTTAAAGTGTAACCCACTTGGTAGAAGCCTTCAAGACCCCAATTTTCGCCCCACTTGACTCCACCAAGGTTGGTTTTGAAACTTCGGTAAAATTCCTTGTTTTTGGTGTGGTCGTGTAACTCTCGACGAGGAAACCGACTTTTGTTCTTGTCCCGAGTGAATTTGAGCACCGTAACTTTGTAGATCGTAGAGAGAAGATGGAGAAACTCTCATTTCTCTCAACGTTAAAGATCGACTGAAGAATGGGGGAAAATCTGATTTTCCCCCTATTTATAGTCTTAGAATACTTAACCCACAATTGGCCACACAACCCTCTTTCTTTCAGCTCCGTTTTAGCCTCGAAACGATTCAATTTCGTCCCGATTCAAGTTCAAAATATTTTTATTTTAATTCGCCTTTAATTATTTCTCAACCTTCACAATTTTATTTAAAATTTTCGTTCTTGGGTCACCCGAGGGCCGATCACCTCATAAAACTCAAAAAATCTGACTATTTTGGAATTCGATAAAATCTGACGGGATAACAAGATTTCGCGAGACGAATCCAACGGTGAGGTCCGTTTCGTCATCCGAGTTCTAAAAAATTTCAGGTTTACAATCCGTACTATAGTGACAAATTACTATTTTACCCTTTTTCATAAAAAGCTTAAATTTACCCAAGTTTTACAAACACTGATAACATGTTTTCATAGGACCATTTTATAGACATCTAGCCCCTAAAAAATCAATTGGAACATTGGTTTACAGTTTCTTAGTTTCTTGTTTCACTTGTCAAAGGGGTTGTTGCAAACAAACTCAGAAAGCATGGGGAGTAAAGAAAAGGGAACTTAGCCCAAACATAAATACTGATGGAAAATTGTTTTTATAACCTTCCAACTGATTAGTGTATCATTCTGCACCAAATAATAATCCCATGTAATTTTCTACACAACACAAACTACTCTAGGTTGAACAAATTTAGAAAGCCAATGATATGATTATGCGATACTGGGACCTCATCAAGTGACCTAATTAACTGTCGTCGTTGGATTAGCAGTTGTTCCCAACATTAGACGAGATTCCAATATTAGCAGAGACAACAATGGATTAGGTCAGAGATGGTTAGGTCTGATAGCATTGTTGTAAGATTATGCCTGGCCACTCTGCAACTACTTATTCATTCATATTAACATGCAAAATAACTTTTAAGCAGGAAACTACAACAAAACATAGCTAGGGCACGCTTCAAGAATGTTGTTCATAAGAGCACTAGATTGGAAGAAATCACAAAATCTAATGATTTATCAGTTATTTTTGATGGGCTAATGGGGTTAATGAAACTCAAGAAACTACTGAGTGTTGGGTCCTCTTCGTTGTGAACTTGAATGGGTATCTAGAAATTCATCAAAAACTGTATAACATTTTCAATTCACCAGCCACTTAAGCAATCTCTTGATGTTGAATTAAATGAGGTGGGAAGACTCTTGATCAAATAGTTATGTATTGCAGCTGATGAAAATGTAATAGATATTAACTCTAAAGATAGCTCAAGTCGTAATATGAATGAGCTGTAAACCAGATGCTCTAAGTTAAAATCTTGTCAACCTTTTTGGGCCAAGTAAATCACTTGGACGAACCGGGGTGAATTAGTCGAGGTACGACTAACCTGCCCCGGACATTCCCACCTTATAACAAAAAAAAAAAGAAAATGTAATAGATATTGGGATCAGAGTTTCATATTTTAGCTAGAAATTGATTGTGTGCTATGTCTAAAAGTCATTTTTTGAGGTGAATTGGGACAGTTATTCATCACACCTGGGAATAAACCCAATTCTTGACATGGGTCTTTACGATTTTCCACACTAAAACCAAAATTGCAGAAGAAAAACAGAGAGAGAGAGAGAGAGAGAGAGAGAGAGAGCTAAAGGAAAGGTAATCTAGCAAAAGAGTCGATGAGAGAGAAGGGAAATCCATATCAGTGGTGTGGCCATGGAAAGCACAAGCATCTGGGGATCAATCCAATTAAATTGAGTAAAATTGCTAAGAATTATCAATTTAACAACCAAACTCAGCATCTTGATCTATAAATTTCATATTTTAGTTGGAAGTTGATTGAGTGCGAAAAGTCATTTTTTAAGGTCAATTAGGACAGATAGGTAATCTAGCAAATAAGTGGATGAGAGAGAAGGGAAAATCCATACCAGTGGTGTGGCCATGGAAAGCACAGGCAGTTGGGGAGTTGTCTTTGTCTTGGTATAGATTGTTGCATCTCAAGCACCTCTTCTCAGCGTTGATGATTTGCAATCTTTGTGGTTCTCTCTGATCGAATTTTGAGGTCAACTTAATCTTCTGAACATCAAATGGATTGGAGAGAGAAGGTTGAGAAACACTGTAAGCCAAAGCCATTCTGCCCAGGAAGAGGATGAACTTTTTTCAAGTGTGAATGGGTGTTGGGTTTGCTGAAAAGTTCTAAAGAGATTCGGATTAATTGCACGTCTCAAAGTATATCTTTAATATTTTAATTACCGGGAGAATTATACCTAAACCTCTTAAATTTATCACTTAATCATTCAGACTCCCTAATATTTAAAATATTACACACAGATCTCTAAAGTTTATACGCGCATAATACTTAGGCCTTGTTGTAAATATATCAGTTAATAAATTATACTTAGACCTCCATGAAGTTTATAGGTATATAATACTTAGAGACTTTAAGTTTAAAATATTATATTTAAACAAAAAATACTATAATTAAAGATAAAATATCAAATATTTTAAATTTTATAACCAAAATTCATGTTCTATTGTATCATTTATTAAAATAAAATAAAAAATAAAAAATAAAAAATTAATTTTTTTCTTAAAAATCGTAATTATTATACAAGTATATTATTTATTAGAATTTAATTTGGTCATTTAAACGACCAAATTAAAATATCAAACTACTCCAATTAAAGTTAAATGATATTGTGTCATTACAGTTTGACCACTTGTTTAATTTTTTAGTTTATTCTAATAGATAATATAATTATATACTAACTATAATTTTTTTAAAAAAAATTGGACTTTTATTTTTGATTTTATTTCAACAAATGACATAATAGAATATGAATTTTAGATGTAAAATTCATATTCTATTATGAATGACTTAGACCTTTTATTTAATTTTTTTAGTTTTATTTCATTAAATAGTATAATTATATACTAATTACAATTTTTTTTAAAAAATAAATTTTTAATTTTAATTTTATTTCAATAAATGATATAATAGAACATGAATTTTAATTGTAAAATTTAAAATATTTAATATTTTATATTTGATTGGAGTATTTTTTGTCTAAATATAATATTTTAAACTTAAAGCATCTAAATATTATATATCTATAAACTATATAGGGTCAAATTGTAATTAATTAACAAATATATTTACTACAACTGTCTAAGTATTACCCCTTATAAATTTTAGGGGGTCTATATATAATATTTTAAATGTTAGGAAGTCTGAGTGATTAAGTGATAAATCTCAGGAAGTCTATATGTAATTCTCTCTTAATTATATTATTTTAAATTTAGAATTGAATATCTATACTAATAAAACGAAGTGAAAATTTTTTGATTTACTATTTTATTTTTATAAAAACATATAAAAAATAATTTGCCTTTTTGTATTTAAATATTTAAATTATTATTAGATCCTTATATATTTAAATAATAAAATAACACTAATCTCTAACAATTCATTTAAATATCTCTATATTTGTAAAATTTTTGATTGACCATGCTATACTTAGCATGATATATAAAAAAATATTATTTTTTTTAAAAGCACAATATTAATACACGTTGATAACTCCATTGATAAAACATTATTTCTAACACCCAAAAACAGATATATATAGTTTTTCTTTCCATAAAAGTACTTGAGTATGAAAAAATTTTAATTTATTATTTTACCCTGATAAGAAATTATAAAGACTAATATGTCCTTTTGTATTTGAATATACAAATTATCATTTTATCCCTATATATTTAAATAATAAACTAATCTTTAAAAAATCATATAAATCTCTCCGTATTTGTAAAATTTTTAAATGATTGTGTTATGCTTAATATGATGTATATAAAAAATATTATTCTTTTTTTTTTTCAAAACCCCAATATTAATACAAGTCGATAACTCCATTGGTAATATATTATCTCCTACACCCAAAAATGGATACATATAGTTTTTATTTTCATTCACAATTAAAATAATTTAGTAAAAAATAATTGAGGCACAAAGTAAAACAAGAAAGACAAAAATAAAAAAAAATCGAGAAAAGAAAAATTTATAACTCTTACTAATTAGTAGTTCGAATGAAAGAATTACAAAAAATGAGTTCATTGGATATTTATAATTATGAAGAGAATACAAATAATTTAAGTATGATAAATATGAGATAATATTTAATTTTACTACATATTAGAATTTTTTTTTATATATTTTATCAAATGTTTTAACAAAAAAAATCACATGCAACGCACGTGGTGCATTGCTAGTATATTTATGTGATGTCTCAAGTAGATAAAATATAAATTACTAATAATTTTTTATTATAAATTTATCACATGATATCTAAATATAGATAACAAATAATTTAAATAATTTTGACTAAATTTTAAGAAAGCCATTTTTGAAGTCGGTGTTCTAGAAGTCCCTCATTGACCTCAACCCAAGGTTTTTACATGCTCCTCCTTCACCCCGAGGGGAATGTCTCGTCTCAGGAAGAGGGAAGACATCGGTAGCTTATGATAAAAAAAAGTATAATTTTAATAATTTTTTAACCATAATTTGGAGAGAAATTTGGTCAAAAGTTATTTAAATTATTTTTTATCTATATTTAGGTATCATATAATAAATTTATGATAAAAAATTATTCATAATTTGGAGATTATCTACTTAAGAGGACCACATAGAAACATATTCAATATTTCATGGACCAAAATGATCCAATTACAATATTAAGAACAAAAATGAGACAAACTCTATATTTTGAGGACCTTTGGTATAATTAACCCTGGAGATTTTTAATATTGATGAGATTAGAGCATCTCCAAGACTACTAATGTAAATAATTTATGTCTGTTAAACGAATTAAGCGGACTCATGTTATGTCTTTAATGGGTTCAAGTGAAAAACTATTAAATCCGTACACGATATGCTGAATTAAATGAATAGACATATAAAAATCGAGCACGACTTATTTATTGTTACATCACATTGACTTGTTTAACCTATTTAATAAACGAATAGTATTGGATGGAGTTGGGATAACACGATAACTCTTTTAAGCAGTCATCTGTCTGGTTGGTTTGTCATTAAAAATTTTATATAACTAATTAATAAACATTCATGCTAACTAATTAACAAACTGACAAAAAAATATGGTATTTAATGATGTCAATCCACATTAAAAAAAAAGCATTTAAAACTATAAGAATGAACTCATCAAAAAAATCAAATTTAATTGATCTAATTATTAAATTGGATACATTATTCTGACTAAAAAAAATTGACATAGTTATTATTTTATTAATTTTATTTAAACGGATATACGAGTAATAAGTCGGGTGACATATCTCACATGAACATGACCCGTTTATTGAGTAGGTCTAGCGAGTCCACTTGTTTACCACCCGCATATGTTAAGGTCTCACCCAAATTTGCTTAACTCTTTGTCAGTTAATCATGTCGTGTTGCATTTTGATAGACCAATCTCCAATCATAACTCAAATTTAGATTCAAATTTAAGTAAAAAAAATATGATTTTGTGTAGAACACTATAATGGGCAAACTCAAAAATCTATTTAAATCTGTTAAAAAAATTTGTTATTGTCCCAATCTCTTTTTTTTTTTTTTCAATTTTTTCCACCAAAATATTTTATCCTCTCTGTCTTCTATTTCGTTTACTCCAAAACCTCTATCCCTTTCAATATTTCCTTCCCTCCAAAATTTTATGCCCTTATCATTTTAATTCTTCCCTCCAAATTAAATTACAACCAACTTGTTTTATAAGTAAGCTACATCATTCATGCCCTTCTTCAACATTTTCATAGAAATGAATCTTTTAATGTATCTTTTGCTCCAATCTTCTTCATCTTATTCTTTTTTTTCGATGAAGATGATGGCGAATAAATATCTTCAATTGTTGATCTTAATAAGACAAATAATGCCACAATGTTGAAAATCTTAAGAGAGGAGTCAGAACAACCCAAGAAACATGGTGATTCTATTCTAGGATGGAAATTCATCAATTGTAACAAATAAAAGGATCATAATCTACTACTTCTGAATTATTTTGTTGAAAATCCAGTTTATCCCCCTTTAACATTTTTGGCGACGCTATGATGTTGAAGCATATGATCCTCTTTTTATTCAAAAAATAGATGATTGTCGTGTTCTTCGATTATCTTCTCTTCAAAAGATGACATCCTTAACTAAAACGTTCGCCTACAAAATGTCAGCGGATGATGTGGATGAATATGTACGAATTAGGAAAAGCACAACAATCTTAAGTTCTAAATGTTTTTGTCGATTAGTTACTAAAGTTTTTGAAAATAAGTATCTCAGATCTTCAAAGGAGGATGATATTTCTAGGTTACTTGCTGTTGGGGAGGCTCGTGGATTTTTCAAAATGTTGGGAAGCTTAGTTTGTATGCATTGAGAATAGAAGAATTGTTCAAATACTTGGCAAGGTTAGTATTGTGGTCATGTAAAAAAAAACTAACTATAATTCTAGAGGTCGTAACTTCTTATGACTTGTGGATTTGGCATGCCTTTTTTTTTAATGTCAGGATCTCACAACGATCTCAATGTATTAGATTGTTCTCCTCTANCTTACCCTTCCTTTCATGATCTACAACCTTATGTTGATCTCGTTTAATAGATCGGGAAGACATACCGGCCAACACTTCAAAAATTTTAGTTTGGTTGGCTGCTATATCTTTAAACCTAGCATCATAAGTCACTTTCTTCCTATGTGATTCTTTGGCAGCCTTTCTACCACTTGGTCATTTTGGTTTCTCTTTTGATGGTTCTGTTTCTATATCAAAGTGAACAGATACCATAGTAGTAGGAATCGAAGGTGAGGATGTATGAATTGTGCTCTAAGTTCATCTCACTTACAACTCATCGATGGAATTGGCTTCATTAAAGAGTCTTAATGCATAAAAAAAAGGACATTGATGTTGGAAAAGATATTTTCGGATGATCCAAATGTTGTGTTTGATGAGGATGTTATGGATTAGAGAAAGTTCTTAGGAATGGAGGAAACCAAGGTTATTAAGTTGGACTTAGAAAGTTACTTGCAAGATGTTGCTGAGTTTGGAAAAGAGTCACGACATAATTTCTCACATGACGCATGATATTTTAACAAGTTCTATATCAACGGTGGCTTTGGAGTCCGCTTTTAGTACGGGAGGTCATGTACTTGATCAATTTCGTAGTTCTTTAACTCTAAAGATCGTTGAGTGTTATGTTTGTGCCCAAGATTGACATAGGAGTGATTCATCCCTATTTGAAATAGAAGAAAAGCTAGAGGATATGGAAGACATTGAGAAAGGTAAATTAATCTAAAGTAGGATCTATTGTTATTTCTTAAAGCTTATGCACTTCTCTATTTTTTAGTGTTGGTTAATGATGGTACAAGTTCGGAGGTTGGAAATTCATCTGTTTTGTTTAGTGGTAAAAAAAATAGTAGGTATTGGGAAACTACTTACTTTTTACTCTCTTTAATCTTTGATTCTTCTCCTATTGTTTACTCATTTGTTCCTCTATTCAGCAAGTCGTATTGGGAGGGAAACAAATCAAGAAAAGCTAGAGGATATGGAAGACATTGAGAAAGGTAAATTAATCTAAAGTGGGATCTATTGTTATTTCTTAAAGCTTATGCACTTCTCTATGTTGTAGTGTTGGTTAATGATGGTACAAGTTCCGGGGTTGGAAATTCATCTATTTTGTTTACTGGTAAAAAAAATAGTAGGTATTGGGAAACTACTTACTTTTTACTATCTTTAATCATTTATTCTTCTCCTATTGTTTACTCATTTGTTCCTCTATTCAGCAGGTAGTATTGGGAGGGAAACAAATCAAACAACTTGTTTTTGGCTCCATGGACTGTGCCTGATGGCCATTAAAGAGTGTTGGTTATTTTGTTGTGTTGCGTCCAAGATGTCTGTTTTTTGTTAGACATGTTATGTGGTTTTTTCATGGCTAGGATGGCAGTGCTTATATAGGAATGTTATGGCTTTTTTTTTTTTTTTTTTATGGCCAGGATGGCTGTGCTTATGTTACACGTGTTTATGTAATTTGGTTGTGTTTATTCATCATTTTGTTTGTGCTTTTTGGTTGTGTTTGTGTGGATTTTGTGTTGAATTTATTGTACATTGAATCTAATATGAAATCGGGGACAACCAAATGCATTAGGTAGGTGTGCTGCACAACTCGAATTAGCAAATTAAAATTCAGCCCGAGTTTTAAGAATTTAACTTCGGCAGTATTCAGGTTGACTCGTTTGAGTTCAAAGTCAGGCTCGCGCAGAGAAATGGTTCAAGTTTTTTTGGAAAAAATGGAAGCTGTTGCACAAATATAGACTTACTATTTATTGTCTGTGTCTGAAGGTACAGAGTAATAAAAAATGGTAAACAATAAACATATTTGTATTTATATCCAAAATCAAATCCCAAATATAGAAAAAAGATAAATGAAATTAAGCATCGATTTGTAGTAGGGGTAAGAGGTGGTATGAGACATTGATGGTTGTGGTGGGTGGCAGTAGTGGTGATAGGAGACGGTGATGGTTGTGGTGGGTGACAATAACTGTGGCAGCGAGGGCGGTGGCGATGGCGGTGGTGGGGTTGGCGATGGTAGTGGTGGGGGGTGAGGGTGGCGACGGTGGTGGTGGTCATGATGGTGGCGGTGGGGTCATGATGGGGGAGGTGGTGGCGGCGGCGACGGTGGTGGTAGTGACAATAGTGGTGGCGGCAGCAACGACGATGACGACGGCAGTGGCAGCTGTGGTGGTGGTGGGGGTAGAGATAGTAGTGGATCGGTTTTAAACACTATTTTTTAAAAGTATTTTATAAAAAATAATTTTTAAAAATATTTTTAAAAAGTCACTCCAAACACACCTTTAAGGATCTATTTTTTCTATTAAATTTATGGTATTAATATTTGTCGTTAGATTAACTTTAAAATAAAATATAAAGCGATCTCAGCCACAAATAACAAAAGTCATTTTGTTTATCTTTTAAAATTTAAATTGTAAATTATTTTATTATATAGATTTGAAGAAAAGGGTAAGATTAAAAATTTATTAGGCATAAGTGCATTTTGTTAAAAAAAGACCAACAACCCATTTTGCAAGAATAACTCTTGCAATAACCGATTATATCACAACCCTTCTGGATTTTCTCTCTTCCTTTTTCTCACTCTTTCTTCCCTATTTTTTTCTCTCTATGTCTCTCCCTTAGTCTTTCACTCTCGTTAACTCCCTCTCTCTCTCTTACTNGCTCTTTCTTCCCTATTTTTTTCTCTCTATGTCTCTCCCTTAGTCTTTCACTCTCGTTAACTCCCTCTCTCTCTCTTACTCTCTCACTTTCCCCTATTTTTTTCTTTCTCTCTCTCTACTCTATTCTCTCTTTTTCTCCCACACACTCTCTCCCCATATTTTCTCTCACTGTTTCTCTCTCTTATTAATAATTTATTTTCTTTTCAAATGTGTACAGATTTAATTTGATTATTTTTGTTTGAAATTATAAATTTTTTGATTTTTTGTGATACACCTTAGTAGCGTATTTGTTTGATGTATCTTTTTGGTATATCACTTTCTCGTATCGATTTTGTGAATCAATTACGAGTATCATTTTAGTATTTTTATTTTGGTGTATCTCTTTCATGTATCACTTTCTTGTACTAATTTTGTGCATTAATTAGGTGTATTATTTTAATGTTTTTTTTTGGATTTTACTGGTGTATGTTTAGTGCATCTATTAGGTGTATCTATCTATTGTATCTCTTTGTAATCACTGCATGTAGTGAATAATTGGTGCAACTTGTACCTATTAGGTGTATTTATTTGGAGAAAGTAACGTTTAAAATTGAATCAAAAAGTCACGTTTGAAACTATATCATAATACCATCAACTAGTTTGAAACCGAATCAAAACGTTCACAACCAGAGAATATAGGAAATAATGAATTTTAAAGGCAATGGTTGAAGAAGATATTGTAAATTAATTTAAGAATAAATATTTAAAATTTAAATGAATGAAAATATTAAATCAAAATTTTATATATTTAAAAAGAAAAAGAAAAGATAGAAAGAGTACTAGTGATAACAAATAAGGAAAGAGAGGGTATGTGGGGACAGTTCGCCGTCTTAATTAAGGATACTTTTTATTGAGCGTTGACTTTATAAACTTTTGACGACCTAAAACTCAGAAAGTCCTCAATATTCGCATGTTTCCCTAAATAAAATGTGCTGTGTAAAATCTTATGAAGCACCTCCGATACAACCTATCATTTCTCCGCCACATTGAGAGGTCAGCGGTCAGCCATTTACAGCCATATACGCCACTTTGAAATCTTCAAAAACTCCTTTCTCACCGCTCATAGGCCACTCTCTCTCCTCCCTGCTCTCTACGTCTCCCTCCCCCTCTCTTCATTTGGCTCTACATCGAAAGGTGGATACTGGAACCTCAATCCTTTCAGGTTTTCACACACAGCGGCGTAGATCGTAGATCAGAGAGGTAAATTAATCGTTTCTCCGATCGACATATAGATCTGTTCGTTTGTAGTTGTAGCAGACACTAGTACATCGACGATCGATACAGTTCGGTTCGAAGGAAGTTCTATCATTTTTGAATCGATCTGTTCAATTTCTTTGTCTGCTTGTGTGTGAATGAGTTTTTTGTTTTTGTTTTTGTTTTGATCAAATGTGTGAATGAGATTTGACTTGCTAAATTTGCAGTCTGTTTGGCTTCGTGATCATCTGTGATTCGATCTTTTCATTTTCTTGCTATGGTACCGTGGAATAGCATTTGGACTTTGTTGTTGATCTGTAGTTTTTTTTATCTTTCTATTAGGACAATTGTTTATGCGTTTTTTCTGATTGTGTGTGTGCGAAAGTGATTTGATTTTCTAACTCGGCATCCTTTTTCGGTTCATCCGCTCACCGATTGTTGATCTTCATTAAAAAGTGATTCAGAATTGGTGCGTATCCTTTATTTACTATGTGTTTATCCTTCAATTTTCTTGCTGGAAAATTGATTCAGTTTTTTCCACCTGAATAAGCACTTAAGGCTGAAGATGAACACAGAAGGCTGTGGATTTAGGGGCACCCTTCAGATAAATTCGGTTAATGTTTTGTTTAAAATCTTTGTTGGTTTACCTCTTGGTTTAAGTCAATGGACTTTGGATCTACTGCTCTTTTGGATCTATTATATCTTTGTTATTGTAGATGTGTATATTTTTATAAGATTGATATCACATACAGACATATTTTAAGCTCTTCGTAGATGATCTGATCAGATGTATATATCTCTTGTTGAACTTATGGATTTTGTGGTTAGGTATTGTCTATAGTTAGCCATGGATTATTGTTGAAATGTAATTCTTCTCCCCTTCTAATTGACATGCAAAACTTTTTTTAAATCTTTTTCTTTGATTCAGATTTCATTCAATTTCAGTAAATAGTTCTTGTTCTATTGAGTGATTAAGTGGTACTTCGACTCACTATTTTTTCTGCCTATGCAAAGAAATCGAATTATTTTGTAGGAATTTTGCATTTTGGGGTTTTCTGGTATTTGGCTGTTCCCTGGTTTCTTTGAAACATTTAAAGCTGTGGATGCAGTGTGTCTTTTTTTTTCCTTCCTTTTATTGCTTCCTCTTTTTGTTTTGTTTATGGAAATGAAAATTTGGCTGTTCCCTTTTCCAAGTTTTTTCTATTGATGGATCAGACTGCCACTGGTAGATCATCCCTGGTTTTATAGTTCTTGGATAATTTGATTTGATGCCTCTGCTTTTAAGATTTAGACAAGTTTTAAATAATCTCAGCCATTTCACAAATAATTTATTGGTATATTATTAGGTGACTTTACTTTAAGATGATGCTCTTGAGATATGGGTGTGCTATTATGTCTCTAAGATATCCAACTAAACTACCTAAATAACTATTGGGTTTTTCTTGCGGTGTTTGATGCAATTACTTCTTATTTAAGATTCTGTCTTAGTTGATGAAAGAAGTTGTGAGTCTTGTGACGTTGACTTTCTTTGTTTGGTAAGCAGTTCTACTCACTTCTAGGTTCCATGGGAGCTGATCGAAATGGTTTTCATGTGAATCCTCGATGGAGATAACTTGAACTTTAACTTGGGCTTGAAATTGCTTAATTCTATGCATTAATGGGGCTTCGAAGAATGTTTCTTAGGAGATTTTCTGTTTTTGTACAACCTGTTTGAATGTTCCCAAGACACATACATATGAATATACATATATATGTTTTTATTTTTTTGTGTGAGTTGGTGTGTCTCTATGCCCTTTGTGTGCGTGCTTATTTATGGTTCTAAAGAACTCTACCCTTCTTTTTCCTTCTGTATATGTTTTGTCTCCAGATATATCTCATCATTGAATAGCCTGTATTTTGACAGTAGATACTTTTTCTTGTAGGAAAAGGCATGATGACTGATCAGCCACAATACCCAAGGGTTGCTCAGAAGGTAGCTGGCAAGCTCCTTCTTAGATCTAGCCCAGTTCAAGATTTTCGGACTTATGAGATAGGTTTTCAGCAGCCTTCTCTTTATCAGAGGAAATTCCATTATGGGAATTACACCAATACTGCATTGCATTATTCTATGTTGCAACCATGTCGAGCTACACAAGATCTATCCATGGTTGCATCGAATGTGTCTCCTGTTTTTGTCCAAGCCCCTTCAGAGAAAGGCTTTGCTGGTTTTGCCATTGATTTTCTCATGGGTGGAGTCTCCGCAGCTGTATCCAAAACAGCTGCTGCTCCAATTGAGCGTGTGAAGCTTTTGATCCAGAACCAGGATGAAATGATTAAGAGTGGTAGGCTGGCCGAACCATATAAGGGTATTGGTGATTGTTTCGGCCGAACAATCAAGGAAGAAGGGTTCGGTTCATTATGGAGAGGGAACACTGCTAATGTCATTCGTTACTTCCCAACTCAGGTTAGTTTTTTATTAGCATTTTGTTCATACTTGTAGTTTCCTAACATTGTAGCTATTTTCCCTGCTAGTGTTACACTCTATTCTTATATTACTCGAACATTTCACCAGGCTTTGAACTTTGCATTTAAAGATTACTTCAAGAGGCTGTTCAACTTCAAGAAAGACAGAGATGGTTACTGGAAATGGTTTGCTGGCAACCTGGCGTCAGGAGGTGCAGCTGGTGCTTCTTCCCTTCTCTTTGTCTATTCCCTGGACTATGCCCGTACCCGTTTAGCAAATGATGCAAAGGCCGCGAAAAAGGGAGGCGAGAGGCAATTTAATGGCTTGGTTGATGTCTACAGGAAGACAATAGCATCTGATGGTATTGCTGGGCTTTATCGTGGATTCAATATTTCATGTGTTGGGATCATTGTGTATCGTGGTCTTTACTTTGGAATGTATGATTCCTTGAAGCCGGTGATCCTTACCGAGAAGTTGCAGGTAAATTTGCCTTGCTTTGACAGTCTTACGATAAGAAATGGACAAGATGAAATATTCTTCATCACTTTGGATGGCCATTACGCATCCCTCCTGTTTCAGGCATTTATATTGTCTTCTTTAAGATTAATTGTAACAGGAAATATAAATAAGGTGGACTTACAATTATTGGACTGATGCATACAATAGTGTCAATGGGCTACACGTGTTGTCTATCATTTCAAACAGAAATCGTTAGACAAGGCTAATTCTAATTTTATCCAACAGCTTCATCACAATTGTTTTCTACTTTAATGCTTTCAGGATAGCTTCTTTGCTAGCTTTGCCCTTGGTTGGGTAATCACCAATGGTGCTGGCCTTGCATCCTACCCACTTGACACTGTTCGCAGAAGAATGATGATGACATCAGGTGAAGCGGTTAAATACAAAAACTCGTTTGATGCATTCTCTCAGATCCTGAAGAATGAGGGTCCCAAGTCTCTCTTCAAGGGTGCGGGTGCAAACATTCTCCGTGCTGTTGCTGGTGCTGGTGTCCTTGCTGGTTATGACAAGCTGCAGGTTATCGTTTTTGGAAAGAAATACGGATCTGGTGGTGGTTAAGTAAACTGGTATTCTCATCCCATTGTTCCTTTTACATTAGATGGTGATGAAAAAAATTCTGAGTTCCAGATTTTATCCCGGCATTTTTGTTTTTGGCTTTTGAATAATTCAATTTTGAAGGAGAGTTGCTCCCAGACCATCTTTGATTTGGCTTGATTTTTTGTAAACCTGATAAATTATAGCGGCTGCCAATGCAATCGCTGCCCTTGATTTTCTGAGATACGAACTGAGGCATTTATTCCAGGTGACGTATCTTCTTTTCTCTTAATGTATTGCGTAGAATGAGTTTGTGTTTTTATCCCTTCTGCTTATATAACCGATACCAGGTATGGCAACAGCTCATTGAACTTTGGAGGCAGAGAAATCTGGTCACTTGTGTAAGTGCAATTCAGTTGAGTTGTTTTCTTATGAGTAGGACTGTTAAGGGGGCCAAGCTGGCCTGAACTCTGCCTCTTTGGCTGCATGTTTTTCTACGCAAATTGTTTTTGAGTTGAGCTGAGTTGAATGTGGACTACAATTTAGCTTTGACTGAAAGTTTGAGACGGGTTTGGGTTAGTCTTGGTTTAATATGCCAGTGGCACCATGATCAAATCCTGCCATGTGAGAAGACCAAAGAATATCAAGGAGAAAGAGATTTGGGAAAAAAGTTTTTCTGTTCAATCACTCTACTTGATTTCCTTTATACCATCTCCTTTGTGCTTCCCTATTATTTTGCACTATGTTTCTTGCTGAAACTAAACAGATTTCATTTACTTAAAACTAATTTGTCCGCGAATGTGTCAATTAAGTTGAGATAGAAATTTCATTGTGATGCAAATAATGTGATAAATTTTGCAATTGCATTACGAGAAATGGTTCCTTTCAATAAAAACATAATTGTTTTTAACATTGCTTAGAATTATTTTTTTGAGATTTAATTTTGTCTAACTACTATTTTATAGAACTTTTTTATACACATCTTAGTATACAAATAATACATTTTGATTAGTTACATTTCTTGAATTATTATTTTTTCTAAATTGAATTTTGTCCGACTGCTATTATACAAAACTTTGTTATACCCATCTTAGTGTAAAAAAATACATTTCAATACGTGTACATGTACATGTACATAGTATTATCCAGAAACATGGGATCAAATCCTGCATTAATCAGGGTGGAGATGTTAAATAATAATAATAACAACAACACCAATAATAATAATAATAAAAAAGAGAGTTACCCTAATTATGTGGCTCAAACATTAAAACAATGGTGAAAAAAATGATTGTATCATGGGTATTTGATTTTTTAGCAATGCTATGAGACTTAATTCGGGACTTAATCCAAGGGCTTAATTCATTGAAAATCATTAGATAAGTATGACTTTTAAAATTAGATTAAATTCACTTTTAATTCATCAAGTATAACCGATTAGGATCCTACATTAGATATCTAAATGAGGTGCTTACAATATTTTTTAAAATATTTATAACAATATATTCTGACATGCTTAATCAATAGTCCAATATTATTGTTTGATAAAAACCTAATGTGAAAACGGTGATTCGTATTGCTCCCCACCATATATAGTAGATAATGAATTGTGGAATGTGAGTTTGTGTTTTGTTTAAGTTAAATTGTAACACAATCACATCACATTCATAAAATCGTGTATAATAAGATTAATACGAGTATACACTATAATTAGTTAGATTCATATTATTCTTGCTCTCGCATTCATATTAACTAAATTATTAAGTAGATTAGATAATTCACCCATTTATCGGCCTAAAGTCACAAAACTTAAACCCAAATCTAATAATTATGCTAATCAATAGTTAAGAATGTCCAAATTAATTTATGTGCACTTTATCTAATTATGTTTGTTGTTCAATAAATAACAATTTCGTAAGGTGCTTGCTAATCATGTGGGGAATCACCATACCTGATCTCCCCTGCCCTAGGCAAAACCAGGTCTTCTAGAACATAAACTAAACAATAAATGAGAAAAATCTCCAACGGTCGAAAAACAGTAAAATATAACCCCTCTCCATTCTCCAACGGTTCACTCTTCACTGTCTTAGCTCCCCCCGCTAACTTTAGATCTCTCTCTCTCTCTCTGTCTAACAAAGATCAACTCTTCCAATTCAAGCTCTCCGTTCTTGGGTCTCTCTCTCTCTCCCCCTCGTAGATGGAAGTAGCCATAATCGATTGGAAAACCATAGACTCCAGCTTCGTGAAAGACGAACTCTACGAGAACATCAATGCCCCAAAGTGGGTTGATCTCAATGATCCCAAAGATTCCGTTGACGACGAAACTTGGTTCTGCAGAGCTGGTAACACAAACACACACACAGATACATATATATATATATATATCTATATAACATTTTTAGATGGAAATTCTTGGAGTTTAGTTGAGAATTCTTTGATGGAGCCTGACATTTGAGTGCATTTTGTTGGTGCAGATTGCAAACATCCGAAGAGGGTTGAAGATTTTTGCAAAGAAATGCCTAATTTAAAGGTTCAATTTTTTATTTTCTTGATTTCTATGCAGCCTCGTCGTGTTTGGTTATCAAGAAAGTGTAGGAAAATATACGCTCCGGAGAGAGCCCATGTTAGATTTTCAACACTGGAGAGCATTAAACTTTTATCCAACCCAATACATAAACTGTATTTGGTGTAGAGAACCAAAAACACGTTAATGCAGAAATTCAAGATTCAATTTTTTTTTTCCATTTTCCCTGCACTTTCCGGAAACAATTTTGTTCTGATTTTGTTCATTATCCCTTTTTTCTTCCAAAGAAAAATGTGTTCAAATCTCAACTTCTCTGATCGCCATGCATTTTTATATTGTTAGGCCATCAAAAAATGTTTCCAAATGATTACTTCCAGTGAATTGTTGCAACCATAAAACCTACTTTCCTTCGTAGAACATACTATACATTAAACAGATGATGCCAGATTTAGTTTTTCTTTCCTTTTCCTTTTCCTTTTCCTGTACTTTCTCTGCTGCCAAACACAAGGTTAAAATTTTCACTTTATTATGGCCTCATTTTCTTGATGATCAATGCTTTTATTTCTGTGAAGCACCAGAGATCAACTAGTGTGTCTGAAATCCTCCCATTGGGTGATCGAAATAGAAGGTACAAAAATGAAAAAAACTTAGCTCTAGATAATGAAATTCAAGTTGATTTTTGCATAAATGATTTTCAGTTCCTCCATTTTCTTGTTCAGAGATTCAACACTGAAGAAGAGAGGGTTCATTCAAACTCCATTTTCGTCAAACAAAGACCTTAAATGTGATTCAGTTGTCGAAGATAGCGAGAATGAGAACCCCAATCTATCCACACCACCAAATCACAAAGCTAGTAGATTCATGAAAGAAGCAGTTAAATCAAGTGCAGAGAAGAAAAGGGCTGATAATTCCTTGCACAATGAAGAGGCGCCGAGGCTGAGAAGTACACTATCAGCACGCAATTTGTTTGCAGGGAGGGATATATTGAATCAGATAACAGAGTTTTGTAATGAGTTGAAGAGATTGGCGATGAGGCCAAAGGACAGAGAGAATCTGGAGAAAGAGAATGTGAAGAGTCCGGTGAGAATGCATAAACAAGAGGTGAAGAACCATTTAGGCAAAAATTCTAAGGATATGAATGAGAAAGATGAGAGGAAGCCATTGCTAGCGCCGAGTAAAGAGAAATGTGAAACAATGGAGAAGAGAAGTGTCAAGGACAAGCAGAAACAGGAGGTGAAGGACCATTTAGGTGGGCATTTGAGGGATTTGAACGAAAGAGAGGAGAGGAAGCCATTCCTAGTGTTGAGTAAAGAGAAATATGAAACAATAGAGAAGAGCAATGTCAAGGAGAAGCTGAGGAGGAAGAAGTAAGTCTCTTTGAATACTCATTAAAATATGTACATGCATACTTTGATAGATATATATGCAGTATACAAAATCTCTAAGGTTCTTTAATTGATGAAATATAGAAGTTTAGAGACATTTTGTTGTTATTTAGTGTAGTCTTTAGGATGATCCATCATCTTATGCCTTGTCTTAGATTATGTATAATCTGATAGAAATTAGCACTGTACTCATGATTCACTTGGAACACTTAAGCTGCAAACTGCAAAGTCAAAACTATTTGTTATTGCAGAGCCATATTCAGTCATTTGAAATATATGATAATAATGGTTGAATACTTCAAATTTTGGGGGATGTTAGATGAAGTTTACTCTTGAGAACCACCTGTTTTATCAAAGACTAATGGACAATTCTATTGTGCAGAAGAACTGATGAAGCAGAGAATACCCCAATATCTGTGGACTTGAAGAACATAAAGGGCAAAGGACATGCAAGCTTGTTAGAAATCCGGACCTGTCCCCCCTCTCCTCAATGTTTTTCAGCCAGGCGCGAGCCCAACAAAGCCACCCCACCCAAGGCTTTCAAGTCTAGACCTCAGGTATATTTAACTTTGAATTCTAATTGTGATGATTCTGGAATTTCTTTTTCCCTTAATATTTTCTTCAGCTTGCTTATTCCTTTATTGCATGTTGAGGCAAAAGGTAGATCCACTGATATTAGATAACATTTATGCAAGCAATAAAAAATAGAAATATGAGTGGCTTTTGATTGTTTTCCAATTATACTTTGAATGATGCATTTGATCATGTTATTCATTGTTTAGACAAATCTTTTCAATGCAAGGTACATTATGACCAAGTTACAACTACTTTCTGGCCACATCTGAAAAGCAAATTGGCCTCCCCCAGCTCATGAGTTATGATTAGTGATACCACCCAAATTGCAGTCAGTTCATCCTGCCTATGTGATTTAAAATGTCAATTGTCAGTGACCATAGACGTAGAAAGAGAATGTGAAGGAAAAAGACCACAGTTAGTGCTAAACTATGTACTCCATCAAAACAATTGATCAGTTACTCCTGCAAAACTAGACTGGTATTATTGACATTGAATGTTGAACGGATTTCAAGAGCTTTGGAGAGCGAATTAGCCTCCCC